GGTAACCCAGACCTCCAGGACAGGGATAATGGTTTCACACTGAAAGAGGGTGGATTTGGATTAAATATTGGGAAGGAATTCTTCCCTGTGAGGGTGGTGAGATCCTGAAAAGCCATGGATGCCCCTGGATCCCTGGAGATACCCAAGGACAGCCTGGACAGGGCTTGGATCAGCCTGGGACAGTGGAAGGTGTCCCTGCCCATGACAGGGAGTGGAATGAGATGATCTTTAAGGTCTCTTTCAACCCAAATCATTCCATAATTCCATGAAAATGCCAAGCTGGACAGCASAGCTCTCTCTCCAGCCCTGAGTCTGGACACAGTTGCTGCATTCAAACAGTTTCAAGTTGTTTTTCCCCACTGTGTGTCCAGCACAGCACACTTTGTGTGGGAGGGGAAGCTGCTTATCCAAAGATATATCCAAGAGAAACATGATAATGCTGGCCACACAATCACATGGCATCGGTCACCTGGAAATGTGAYCCAGGACARGGGGCTGGAATAGATGAGMTTTTTGGTCCCWTCCAACCCAAACCACTCYGTGATTTTATGATTCCATCATTCCACACTCCCCATGGGGCTGCCTTTCCCCTGGAATGCTTTCTGCTGTCATTACAGGTGCAAGTGCAGGAATTGCGAGCACGGGCAGTGCTCCCACGTCATTTCCTCATGCCAAAGTCTGATTTTGGCGAGCAGGGGGCAGGAAAGGCTGGTGGGGGATACACACTCTCGAGCGGTTGCGGACAAAATTGTTGAACTTCTCCTTATCCCACATTATCCCCCCTCAGCTGTTCCGCCGGGAGATGCCATGTGCAGCCCGACAACTGCCACATTCCCCTGTGTGACAGAGGGGGACAGYGTGAGGGGACCCCTCCTTTGCCCACTGCAAGGCTTTTCCACTCCAAGTCCTGGCGAAACTGAGTCTTTCCGTGCTGCTGCCGCTGCAAAAGTCCTGATGGGCAGAGTCATCCCTGTCTCACACAGAAATGATTTGATGGTGAAGCTGTTTGGCACAAATCATGTGCTGGCGAGTAAAAGAACTGGGGATACATCCCACATCTCCTTTTCCTGCGCTGTCTGCTTGAACCTGGACTTTTCCTGCAGCACAGAGAGTTAACAAAAAAAACCCTCCTGGATTTGTGTCGGACAGAGCAGCGGCAGCCTGGCCACCCTCGGGTTGGGTTTCAAGTGTCAGACAGATCTTTGATGGCTCCACACTTCCATCTAGTGACAAAAAGCCACCGCTCACCCCTCCTGCTTGCCTCTGCCTCCTTTCTTATYGCAATGCAGGAGTATTTCTCAGATTTCTGATGCTGAGCCTGTCCACAGGGCTATTTCCATGCATTTACCCCAAATCTAAACCCCTAAATGAATAAACTCCAAACAAACAAGAGCAGGGGTGATGTTTTTGTGCAGAGCTGTCCTTCAGCAGGAAAAAAGTGCCTTGCACACATACATAAACATGCACTGGCTGATCCAATCTGCTGCTTTCCTCTTTAATGGGAAATAGCCTAAAAACGGACATCAGCATGTGGTGGTGGCAGAGAATTTACACATCCTGTAACAAGGCTTCTCTGTGCACTACCATTCCTCTCCCCATCTGAATTCTAGGCCTGGGTTTCTGGTTATTAAGGACAATGTTCTTCATAGAATCATGGAATCATAGAATAGTTCAGATTGGAAAGGACCTTAAAGATCATCCAGTTCTACCCCTACCATGGGCAGGGACACCTTCCACTGTCCCAGGGTGCTCAGAGCCCTGTCCAGCCTGGCCTTGGACACTTCCAGGGATCCAGGGGCAGCCACAGCTTCTCTAGGTGACCTGTGCCAGGGCCTCCCCTCCCTCACAGCCAAGAATTCCTTCCGAATAGCCAATCTAAGCCTACATTCTGGCAGTTTGAGGATATTCCCCCTTATCCTGTCCCTCCAGACCTTCGTAAATTGTTTCTCTCCATCTTTCTTGCAGGCTCCCTGCAGATACTGGATGGGTCCAATTAGGTCAGCTCAAAACCTTCTCTTTTTGAGGCTGATCAATCCCAATTCTCCAAGCTTTTCCTTACAGGAAAATTGCTTCATCCCTCCAGTCATCTTGGTGGYCTCCTCTGGACTTACCCTTTCCCTCTTTCTTTTCACATTTCAGCTCCTACAGGGGGACGGCTCCCTGCTCATTGTTTTACTTAATCTGTGAGTTTCTGCAAAGAATAAACTCCTCATCCCCCTCAAATCCTTCTGATGTGCAGACCTTGGACATTTTGCTGAATTTTTCTTGGATAAAGAATTTTTGCAGGATTGGCTCACAATGAGCTAAGCAGAATCACAGTGATGATGATGATGACGATGATGATGATGATGATAATAATAATTTTTGCTTACTATGACCTAGAGATTTGGCGTGAGGGAGTGTGTTGGCAGTGTCAGGGCACTGAGGGCAGCACTGAACCACAATGGCCCTGTCCAGCCTCACCTGGGACCCCCTCCCCAGCCAGGCCATGGATCAGGAGCTCTATTTAACCTCCATCCCTGAGCTGTGTTGTTGAAACACTGCTCCATAACCCCACCTCTGGTCCTGCCTTTTTGTCGGATTACAGGCTGATGTTGTACCTGAGTACCCAGCTCTGTCTCTTCTTATGTCTGAGGGGGTTTTCTAATGGCACCTTGCACTGGGTCCATCCCTCATTTGGGGCTGTGAGTGGATCCTGTCACCAACATTGTTTTCTGTCTGCCCTGTTCAAGCTGTCATGTTTGAACCATCATTTATTTGGCAAACCTTTTTTTTTGTTTGAGAATCCCCTCCAGTTTACTCTTCCTTCTGACCACGTTTCCAGTGTAATTCCACTAATAAGTAAACTGAGAGTGGATCACTGATGGGGTTAACTCCCAGGGGGTTCCTGCAATCATTGGCTGCCTGTGGCTGAGACATGGGGGCTTGGTCTAAGAATAAACCAAGCACAACAGGTTCCACTGCTGGGCAGAGCTCCAGAGCTCCCCTGAGGGTTGATTGCCCGTGACTTTGTGCCACTGAGTCTCTGAATTGAGGCTGACCCTGAGCAAGCCTGTTTCCCCTGCCTTTGGGGCTGAGGTAAGAGGGTGAGCACGCTCTGCTGCTGTTTGGTGTGTGGTAACTCATTAAGCTTCAGTTTTGCTGTGGGGTCTGGGAACTTCCTGCAAATTTCAGTGGAAACTTCCATGAAGGCTTCCATCCCAGGGCAGGGCTCAGCAGCTCACTTGGGGACTCTCAAAATCCGTCTGGGCTTTAAACAGAGGAGGGTAGAGGTGAGAGCAGGGGTATTTTCAGTGTCTGAGGTAGGCTGGGTTGGATCTTCCCAGCAGCCAAGGATCTCCATGGGATGAGCAATGCCTTAGGATTTCAGTTTCTGTATTTCCATGTCTCTGTACCCCTGTAATTCTTTAGTGTTTAACTCCAGCTCAGACAGTGCTGAGCTCCTGCTCTCCCATTTTTACACAAAACAATTCCTCTGCAGCCCCAAACTCAAGGACACCTCACTGTGCCAGGCCCAAGAGATGGAAACAACAGAATTGGGGGAGCCAAGTTGGAGTCAATGACTGCATTGGCTGCAGCTGCAATTGGAGGATTCAGCCCCGATTTTGTGCAAATGGACAAAAGTGATAAAGGGTGAAAAACCCATGAGCCATTGTCCACTGTGGGTGCAGCCCCTGGGTGGGCTGGGACTGCCCTGAATGCACCTGAAGGCCCTGCAATAAACAAAACTGCTTTTGATTCTCTGAATTCTGTCCAGCCTCTGTTTTAGGCAAGTCAATTAAGGCATCATGGGTGTAAGTCCACTGACCTCTTATCCATGGGGAATGGTGTAGGGACATGCAGGGGTACAGGTACCTGAAATGTGATAAGGGATCTCAACACTCTTTGGGCAGAATTCCCATCAGATGATGTTGAGATACCATGGAAAAATWGAATTAAGAATATATAAGGGAACTTTGAAGTCCTCTTGCTGTGAGGTCAGTCCCAGACTGAATATTGGTGTATCAAGAAACTGTTCCATCAGTTTTTCTTCACGTTGTAGGGGGAGAAAAGAGGATGAAATGGATTCATTCTCCTCCTCTTGAAGGATCTAACCAGATAGGACAATCCCAGGTTACTCTTTGATGGTTAWTAAAATCTTGGAACAAAACAGTTAACAGCAGCAAGTAGCTTAGGTTAATAATTAAGCATTCTCAGTGGACGGCTCTGAGCTGTCTGTGAAGGGATTTGAGCCTTTTGGGAAACTTGTCTGGTGGGTTTCAGCACTGGGCAGAGTGACTGGCACAACCCCAGCCCATAAACTGTGGCAGAGCTGGTGCCAAAGGGATGGAGCCCTCGTGCTGGTGTCGGAGCCCCTGCACCTCACTCATCAGAGGAATGGAGCAAGAACAAATTGAATGAGGTAAGTAATGCCAAAAAAAGTCCTAAAAAGGATAATAAAATTAAATATAAATGAAATTTTATATATCTGCTTTGAAATCCAACTTTCAGACCAGGTTGCTGGACTCTGGCCCATGCACTTTGCAGTATGTTAAAATGTGCAAGAAATAGAGTGAGAGCAGTTACAGAGGATTTGTTGAACAAGAAACAGTAATAACCAGGTTAGATGGGGCTTGGAGAAACCTGGTCTGATGGAAAGTATCCCCTTTATGGCAGGGGGTTGGAACTGGATGATCTTTAATGTTTCTTCCAACCAAAATAATTTTCTGATTTAAAAACCTGGCTAAATTAATTCACCTTTTTTTTTTTTTTTTTTTCCCAATACTAGTACAAAACCCAGGGTGAAGGCAGAAGTTGATGGTCTACCTTTAAATGTTAGAGCAGTTCCTGACATGGACTTTAAAAAGGGAATGTGTGATATTTTSTAAATATTATTTCTAGATATTTTCTAAAGCTTATTTTCTAAAATTATTAGACCTGTTGCTCCCACASGTTTGTGGTGTGAAGAAAGAGCACAGATGGGGTTTGTTTTACAGTTCCAGGGAAGGTCCTGAAGCCAGACTCTTGTGAATTCCTCATCCAGCTTTCAAGATGAAGCTTTGGAGAACATTCTTTCTGAGTGCTGGGCTGATGTTCTTGGCAGGTGGGTGAGGGAGAGGTGCTGTCTGCAACCACACCTGTAAAATCCAGTGGGAATTGGRTGCAGGCTGCCTGTGAGATGTGGAGCAGCACCTGGAAAAGGTGTTGAAAATCATGAAATATTGACTGCAGCACACTGCACATGGTCCACCCTTATTATTGATTTTCCATGGCATTATTTCCATAGCCATAGAGGAGTTTTCTGGATTAATTTTAAATTCTCTGGGTTTGTACCATACCTATTGTTTTTTGTGCAGTTTATGATAAATGTCACTCCTTTTATGTTCATATTAAGAATTCATGATTCAAAAGTGTCCAATGTTTGGCTTCAGTGGTTAATACTGATGTCTGATGAGATTGCATCCAAACACAGACAAGAAGCTGGAAATCTCCTAAAATGTTAATCAGGAAACTGGATATCCCTGTTAAACAACTTCTGGAAAACTTTGATCAGAGGCTGCAAAAAAAAGGAAATCAACTACTTGTTCACTTCTTAGCTTCAGAAAATGAGGATCCCCAAAATAAATTCTTAATTGTCTTAGGAATTTGATGCCTGTATGAAAGGCCACAGCTGACTTAAAATCATGAAGCAGGAGCTCTTTCAGGCCTGTGTGTTCTTCCTCAGGATTTCAGAAGGAAATAGCTGGACAGGCTGCCTTGGAGCCAGAAAAGGATGTGTTTTGTAGGCAGCCTTAGTTTTGGGAGGGAGCCCAGAAGACAGCAAACACATTTCTTTGAGAGATGAAGGAATAAATGTGAAATTTATCACSCTGAATTCTCGAGGAGGACAGGAAGCTCAGGCTGTGGATTGGTTCACCAAACCCTGAAGGCATCAACASCTCCCTGAGGGGGAGAGAAAATGGGAAAAAAAGGATGGGCAACCTGACTAATCTGGATGCCTGAGCATGAGAAATGGGATGAAGGGTGGGAGCACAGCAAGACAGCTCTCATATCATCGTGTCTCATCCTGAATAAGGTGTTTTGGGTGTTTGCATTTCCCTCCAGCCTGATGGAGCTGGCTTGTTTTTGTAGGGACAGCAATGGGATCACTCGTCCAGCCCCGAGAAGGCAGCATTGCTGGAGGGACATGGATTACCCTCACTCTGAATGGTGAGTTTCAAATTCTTATGAAGAACATGACAAAGTAGAATCAGAGAAAGTTTTGAGATGGAAGGGACCTTAAATCTCCTCCCATTCTACCTCTTGCTATGGGTAGGGACAACTTCCACCATCCCAGGTTGYTCCAAGCCCTGTCCAACCTGGCCTTGAACACTTYCARGGGTGGGGAATCCATCTGTCAGCTCCATTCTGAGATTTGTGGCTGGAATGACAAACCCTGCACARCAGAGTTGTGGGCTGGGACACTCATGAAACAAAATCAGCTTGACATTATAAGGTATTGCTGAAGGTTTATTTCTAAGCAGCAGAAGTCAGAAAGTTTACTGTATTTTTGCAGATGTAGGGCTAGAAATTTCTTCCCTGCTCCCATCTTTTTATTGAAGAAAAGCTGAAAATCTGCCCCCTTCATATGTCCTGTGATGCTGTAGCTTTTAAAACTCTTTTGATAAACATGAGATCTGAGTAAAAATCATTAAAAAATATGTCATGTCCATTTGGGCCCAAAACCAGCTGTGCAAAACTAGTCTGGTTTTCAAAACTGGTCTGATTTTCCACAGTGCTGTATTTATTTATTTATTTATTTATTTATTTATTTATTTATTTATTTATTTATTGGGAAGAGAGCTGGTTTCTGAACCAGCTGAATGTTTGGTTTAGCTGGCACAGGCTGCCCAGGGCAGTGGTAGAATAATCAGGGGGATTTAAGGCACGTGTGGAAATGCACTTGGGGACTTGGTTTTCACTCTTCCAATTCTCTCCCCCATCCCATTGGGGAGAAAATGAGAGAGTGGCTGTGTGGGGCTGAGGAGGCAGCTGGGGTTAAACCACTACAACATAAAATTACACAAACGTGATCAAGGCTCTAAACATTATTCCTAGGGAGCTGGGTTGTACATCCTAAAATGTTTGTTGTGTGACTGGGAGCGATCCTGTCCTTACAGAACTCTTCTGATTGTCTTTTTTTGCTTAGGATCAGCATCCCACCAGGTAGGATCTGTCTCTCCAGTCACTGCAGCCCAGCTGGAGGTGTCCCTGGTGAATCCAGACCTGCCCAGGCTGCCGTGTGATGTCTCTCCTCTGCATTTGGAGTTGCCCACTATAAAATGCAGAACAAGGTATGATCCATGATTACATTCACATGTGGGTGAGATATTTGTCAAACAGGATCCTCATTTCCCTTCAGTGCGTGCACAGGCAGTCTGGGAGTTGAAAGGATTCCTGTAGCTGCTACTGAGGCCATAATGAACTCCTGCTAAACTGGGTTGATTTATTCTTATTTCAACCTCATGAAACACAACCTACCCAGCATGAGCCTTCCTAGAGAGTCCAGACTCAAACCTTCAAAGATTTGTAGACATTTAGTATTCAGGTGTAAAACTTCCAAGAACATCTTGGAGGAGATTTCACCAGTTTTTGGTGTCCTTTCCCTGTCCAAGGTGACACAGAGAAGTTATGAGCAGAACAGGAAATAAATTTGGTCCCAAACATCAGCTGGGCAGTCTAAGCTGCCTGTTTTCTATCCTCTCACAATTTTAGGAAAGGTTGTTGGACTGGAAGGCTGGGGTGTCTGAAAAGGGACCTAAATGGGGCTCTTGCATCTTTTGCTGCTGTAATTTGGCTGAGAGTTAATTCTGCTTGGTGYTGTGCTGGGAAACCGTGTGCATTAAGGATGCAGCATTAATTTACAGACCAAGATCAAGGTGCCCTGCAAATCCAGGCAGCCCTGGGTCATTTTATTACTAATGCATAACAATTATTGTCTGTGCATGTCTAATGAGAAYGTTTGTGTTTAGCATTAACATTAATTTGGGTAGAGTTCTGATGTAGTTCTGTCACCTTCTGTGCTTTACTGCTTTACTGATTTCTTGCTGTGCTCCCACATATTTATAAATTGTTGTTTTAGTGTTTGGGTTCACATGTGTGATGTTTGGGCTGTCARTGTAAATTTGCTTTGCTGTACTGAAGCCTCAATAGTGGACTTGCTGAGAATGGAGACCCTATGAAGGACCTGGCATTTCCTAAAAAATAAACACAATCTGTATAATATAATATTAACCATTTTCTTCCTCCTAGGTCTGCACCCCGGGAGGGTTTGTACCATGTGGAGGTGATCTTTAAAGGACATGTGATTAACAACCTGACTGAGGTGGAGAAAGAGAATTATTCYTTCAAGGTAATCACCAAGCAAGTGCAGAAGTGATGATAAATATCATATATTCATATATGGTATTGCACATACAATATAGACAAGATATGATAAATTCATATAATATATTGAATACTTCTAGGTGTAGAAGAGAGTCAAGCTCTAGACATGGTGTCACAGGAAATACATCTAAATGSATGGARTMATGGAATGGTTTGGATTGGAAAGGACTTCTAAGACTATYTAATTCCAACCCTAACCTAAAGAAAGATGGGGAGAGACTTTCTGCAAAGGCAGATAGAGACACAAACAGGGGGAGTGGCTTCAAAATGAGAACATGTTTAGACTGGATATTTGGGAAAAACCTTTTTACTGTGAGGGAGRTGAGGCCCTGGCACAGGATGCCCARAGAAGCTGTGGCTGCCCCTGGATCCCTGGAAGTGTCCAAGGCCAGGCTGGAYRGGGCTTGGAKCAMYCTGGGATAGTGGAAGGTGTCMCTGCYCATGGAAGGAGGTGAAATGAGATGATCTTTAAGGTCCCTTCCAATCCAAACCATTCYSKGATTCTRTGATCTCTTGCAGAGCAGAATYCTTAACCATGMCTGTGTCTTTTGGGATCAGGCCTGGTGTGTTTGGAAGTCACATCCCACCTCTGTGCCAACTTTGAGCAGGAAAACCCAGCGTTTTCAGTAAATTGCACATTAAACCAGAAGAGTCATGGGGTGGTTCAGCTAGCTTAGAGAGCTGATGAAAAATCACCAGGGATGCTGTTAATGAGGCACAWTCCAAGCTAAATAAACCACAGTGTGTCTCTTTGTTTTGGGGCTGGGACCTGGGAGCTACACGTATTAAAAATTAATTTTGTGTCCGCATTAGATCAAAAAAGCTGCTGCAGGCAGCAACGAGGCTGAGCAGCTCACAAGACTTGTGGCAGCCAGTGGCCCCAATTTCATGCTGGTTTTGGCTTCTTCCTCCACATCTTCTCCAGCCTGGGGTATGGTGTGATGTTGCCTTTGCTCTCCAGATGTGGCCAATGCTGGCCATTGTGGCTACTCATTCATTTTTAACATGGCCATGAGTAGGAGGGAAGGCAAAGGTTGAGCTCTGAAAGGGAATGGACTTCAAGGAACGCTTAGAAAAACCCCAAAACCCAGCATACACAGTGGTATCTTTGCATTAATACAACAAATTAATTTTTAATGATATTTATTGGGCTGCCAGCAGTGTTTGTAAGTGACCAGTAAGGACATAGGGGGCTCATAAAGGAGAAGGGAAAAATGAAAGTGTCCAAATAGGGGTGGAAAAGGGTCTGGAGCACGAGTGTGATGAGGAGCAGCTGAGGGAGCTGGGAAAGGGGCTCAGCCCGGAGAAAAGGAGGATCAGGGGGGACCTTGTGGCTCTGCACAACTCCCTGACAGGAGGGGGCAGCCGGGGGGGTTGGGCTCTGCTCCCAGGGGACATGACACAGGACAAGGGAATTTGCACCAGGGGAAGTTTAGATTGGATATTAGAGAAAATTTCTTCTCCAAAATGATTGTCAAACACCAGGAGTGTGGTGGAGTCACCACCACTGGAGGGATTGAAAAGCCATGCAGATATGTGGCCTTTGGGGACATGTTTTATTTGATTTAGGAGTGTTGGATTAATCATGGGACTTGATGATTCTCTTTTTTTTTTTTTTCTTTTCTGAGAAGCCAAGGCAGTGCTTTCCCAAAAACATCTCTGTTGTGTTGCTATAAGATGGGCCAATACAAGATCTTTCTTTGCTCAACTGCTTTAGGGTACCCTAAAGGGTGGCTGAAGTATTTCACCTCTGTGATAAAGAGATGGATTGAAAGTACATATTGTCAGGAAGAAAAATGGTGTCGCAGTTCAGGATAAAATACAGGTTTTAATGTCAGA